GGTTAATGTTTGTGCCTCCATGTGTGTTTTAGGTTGCAATGAGCACCATGGACAATCCCCTACTCAAGTACAACGCAAAAGAGTATTTCTTTAAGGCATCGCTCTGTCATTTCATTGTGGATGAGCTCAATGCCAAGGTAACACAACAAACAACAACTATAGCCAGCCACTGAGTCCGCACAGACACATTCACTGAATCTGATGTATTTGTGGGTCGGGTTTCATGCTTAATTGTTCATTGCAGAAATCAGTTTACACGTACCGTTAACACTAACGCCTGTGTGTTTCAGTTGGCCATCGAGAAGTATGAAGAGATGTTTCCAGCCTTCTCAGACTCCAGAGAGCTCAAACTGTTAAAGGTAAATTACCTTTTCTTGTTTTTTTCAACGTAACTTTCTAAGTTTGCATAAATATTTTATTAAAGGTTTTAACGGTTTATAAAATCTGTTACGCTGAAACAATAATTTTATGAAAAATAATATAAACACTCTTTACAACAAGCAGGCAGTGATTTATGAAAGAAATTCCTGGAAATTTTAAATGTAATTTGTGTTTTTAACCTCTGCAAAGGTTTAGACTAAACTTTTCACCGAAAGTGAGGAGCTGTTTATTAGTGGATGCATTGAAATGTTTTCAAATGTTTGCTGTATATTTTTGTAGCTCTCCATCTTTGACTTACGTGATTAAATAACAGTTGCATTGACTTAGTGCACCATCTTGTGGTTCAAACTGGCATTACACAAAGGTACAGCCCAGCCTTACCCCAACTTCAGTTGATATGTCTTCAAATATTGCACCTTTAGTTAAGTTTAGACACTGAAATCAAACATGTAGATTTCTTTCAATAGTATTTAATGTAAATAGTCATAAGAACATTATGATGTAAAGGAAAGCCCACAGAATATGATCATTAAAACACTGCTGCTACTAATCAGAGCTTAATTGTGCCATTTGTGTGTTTTTTCCCATGAACATTTTTGCCTATTCGCCACTCCTCTGTGCAACAGAAACTGCTAGAAGCCCACGAGGAGCAGAACAGCGAGGCGTTCACGGAGGCCGTGAAGGAGTTTGATTCTGTGTCTCGCCTGGACCAGTGGCTGACCACGATGTTGCTACGCATCAAGAAAACCATCCAGGGGGACGCTGGGGACCTGAAATAGACACACTTAGAAGAGGGGAGAGAACAAAGGGGGGGAATAGGGAAAGGGGCCATTGAAGAGAGAAGGAAGATGAGAGTGGAGGGGATTAAATGATGGGACAAGAGACAGGCATGTATCTTAATG